TGTCCCCTGCACACTTCATATCCCACGTCTAATGTGTGTCCAGATGTGAAACAGTACTCGCCGACAGCGGTTCAGCGGCCACATTTCGTTGGCGTGGGCCCAGATTTGTTCCTTCTGCGTGATTACATTCCGTTCGTCATGAACGACCGTATGGTCTTCTCGGCGCTGGTAGCCATGTCCTCCTTCAGCGCCAATATTGCCACCACCGGTAGTCGCGAGGCTCCCTCTGAATCTCTTCGGTTCTATCAGTCAGCCGTGTCATTGCTACGGGAGAGGTTGACCAACGAGTCGCAGCGGGCCAGTGACGCCGTGATTGTGACCCTGGCCAATTTGTGCGCATTTGAGGTGAGCATAAGCTCTCCAGGGAACTCCCCGTGTATAGTAAACTCACTGAGACGCGGTGTCTGACTCTGTAGGCCTTTTCGGGAAACTATGAGGCGGTTGATATGCATACACTGGGCATCAAGCAAGTTGTCGCCCTTCGAGGGGGCACTGGCCAGTTGGGTACCTCTCCTGCACGATGACTTGGTCGTCTACACACACCATTCTGACAAGAGACAGGTTTCGAGGGTTTCCTCAAGACTGTGGCCACGGCGTAAGTTCTATTTTGGTTCTGACACGACGTTGGATCTAAAACACATGACTAATCAGGGACCGTCTATCCCTTACTCTCCAGGTGGCAGAACTTTTATGCAGCTCGACATTCCATCTCCCTGACCGACCCACGGTTTTTCCCTGAAGACGGAATCTTCACCTACCCAGAACATCCCTTCGATCCTGAGTTGTGCGATGTTATTGCGCGCTTCGCACCGGGACTGACTGACATGGCCTTGTCAGGCATGCTGAGTCATCAGATCATCAACCTAGTCACCCATGTCAACAACTGGACCCACGAGGTGAATACCTCTCTCCGCGACTCGGACGTGTACAACCTGCATGACCTGTCCCAGAGTTCTCGCAACGTCACGCTGTGCGGCGAGTTCCTGCACAAGTCAGGTTTGACAATGGTCGAGCAACTCCTGGTTCTAGCGTTGACCTCGTTCTGCTATTCCACAGACTCGACACGATCCATGTTTTTCCTGACGAACGCCTACCTCCAGATTCGCTGCAAGTACATGAGAACAGTGTATATCGAGGTGACGGAGAGAAACGAGGCATTTATGACCTGGGTGGCCACCATGTTGTTAGCCACGTTCGACCCATCAGCACAGCCGTGGTTTTTGGGCCTATCGATCTTGCGAGCGCGACCGACCCTGCGAGATTGGCAGGCAAATGTCAGAGTATGCGAGAGTTATTTCTGGAACGATGGCCTCTCGCTGAAGTTGGCGGCAAAGCTAGGTCATCTCAGAGGAACAGAACGCGAGGGCCAGGGTTGACAGGGTGGAGTTTCAGAGCGTTTGTTTGTCTGCCACAACGGGTTTGTAGGCAGCTGCACATGGAGAAATCGTCATTCAAACCACAAACAGATTCACCCAGACTAAATTGTATCCAATTCAGCCATTTGACATTATTCGCCTGCCCTAAAATCGCACGGAGAACGGAGAGAACCAGAGTGAAGGGCGAATCAGAAGCCGAAATGCCTGCATCTGACGAACATAAATCCAGAGCTTTTCGGGGACGTATTCGCGCTCGAACTGCCATGATAGATTCTATGCTCTCTGTAAGGTCTGGACTAGAGCCATCTACCACTGCACAATACAACAGCGCAGATTCTGTAGGATTGATCAAGGCTAGAAAATTCTCTTGTGGCTATCAAACCCCGCGTCTTGACGACAAAAGCGATGGGAAAATGCTTGTAGGTCACGTACAGGTCACCCAGACCGCGCCGCTTTTACGCCTGCCCCCCTCGTCACTCGCGCTGAAGCTGCCAATCATTATATAATCATTTGCTTGGCATTCATGATGTACGGAAGACGCGGTGAAGCGCGTTTCGATTCGGTCCTTGTACGCACTCAAACCCCTACATTCACTACATGCTGCAGCACACGCTACATTGCTCCTCGGCAACTATTGAATATCCATCTCGCGACAAACGCATCCTTTCATTGATCCCGACAGCAACTAGTCTGACGCTCCTGCCATGGAAACAGCAACATGTCCACAACCCTGATGGCCCCGTCTAAAGCCGCCGCATCTGTTCCTTTTTCCGACCCAATCTTCGCATCAGTCTTTTCGCCTTCAGTCGTTAAACCTCCCAAGCACCGTCGCCTGTTTGCCCCTCAGACCCTTGCAACGCTTCCGGAGATACAGAATGCCCTGCACCAGCACTTGAGAGTGCTTTTGGGAATCGGCGACGAGTCTTTCGTTTATGGAGTGAACGAGGTGCCTCATGCGGGTGCTCCCTTCCACGGTTACCTCGACTCCTGCCCCTCACTCGATCAGCTTAGACAGCCAACAGCTACCGACCATGCCGCGCAGGTTGCTAGGGAGGCAGAGTCTCCTATGTGGGGGATGCTGGCTGGGTGGCGGGCTACAGTTGGGCCTGAGGCAGTAATAAAACTACTAGCGTCGGTCCTCAATGATTTGATGACGGAGTTTGTAACCTGGTCCTATGCCGGAGTCTATCGTCAAGGGCTGCATCTTCACCTTGAGTTCTGGGTAGAGCATTTGTTTTCCAGGATCGCGCGAAAGGTCCTTTGTCGCCTCGACGAGAAATTGGAGTCACAGACTCTCCCTGAAACGGAAGTGCGGAAATGGAAGGATATGGCCACCGCCCGACTCGGCGCTCTACGGGTCGACGAACTCTTCGAGGTCATAGTGGACTGGGATGCCACGGCACCTGCAATCGAGGACTTGCGGCATTTCACGACAAGTCCGACCACAAGAGGATACTTGACGCACAACTTTGTCAATGTCCTGCAAACACGTCTTCTCCATCCGGGCGCATCGACCATCGAAATTTTACAATTTTACATTTCTATTATCCGCTCTTTTCGGATTCTCGACCCTCGAGGAGTCCTCTTGGATCGTGTCGCTAGAAGAGTCCGTCGCTACCTCCGAGAGCGAGACGACACTGTCAAGGTGATTGTGACCGGACTGCTAGCTGACGTTTCGCCCCAAGAGGACGGACAGCCGCCAGAATCCGATCCAGACGTCCTCGCAGAACTCGCTCGTGAACTGACCAGTCCCACCGGTCGAGACCATGCAACGGACGACAGCGAATTCGACTGGAATAATATGGACTGGGTCCCCGATCCCATCGACGCCGCTCCAGATTACATGAAATCCAACAAAACCACCGACGTGATTGGTAGTCTCGTCACATTGTTCGAAACAAAGGAAGTCTTTGTCAGGGAACTTCAATCTGCCATGGCGGAGAGGCTGCTCAAAAATAAAGCCGACTTCACCCAGGAGATCGGTGTGGTGGAGCACTTGAAGCTGCGATTCGGAGACTCTGCGCTGCAAGGGTGCGAAGTGATGTTGAGAGATGTTCTGGATTCAAAGAAAGTGGATAAAGTGATCAGGAAGGATTTGGAGGCGCAACGGGCCAAAAAAGGACGTTCTGCAAAGCAGAGGGATGACGATGTCCAAATTCATGCGAAGATCCTCTCGCGCCTGTTCTGGCCGGCCATGCAGGACCACTCATTTAATGTTCCACCAGTGGTGACGGAGCAGCAGAGATACTACGAACAGGGGTTTGGAGCTCTCAAGCAATCACGAAAGTTGACTTGGGTCAATACTGTTGGCCAAGTCGAGGTGGAGCTGGAGCTGGAAGACCGTACCTACCACGACGAAGTCCTTCCCTGGCAAGCGGCCGTCATTTACGCATTTCGAGACGACGATGCAGGGGCATCGGGGCAGCCTGTCAAGAAGACTCTTACAGAACTTGCCTCTGAGCTCGCAATGTCCACGCCTCTCATTCGTTCCGCCTGCGTTTTCTGGGTCTCGAGGCGCATCCTCACCGAATCATCGCCCAACACCTTTACCGTCCTTGAACGACTTCCTAGTGGCACCGGCGACGGCGACGACACGTTGATGAGCGAGGGTGGGCCGTCTGCCGCCCAACAATCAGACAGTGCTCTGGCAGTCGCAGAAGCCGCCGCTTTGGCGACCGCAACAAGGGAGGCAGAAGAAGCGGAACGCAAGCAGAAAATGGCCATGTATAATGCGTTTATTGTATCCATGCTCACGAATCAAGGGGCCATGCCTCTGGCGAGGATCTCGATGATGTTATCCATTGTGGTGCCGGGAGGGTTTCCCTTTAGTAACGAGGAATTGAAAGAGTTTCTGGCATCCATGGTGAAAGAAGGTGCACTGGAGATTGGCAAATCGGGTGTTTACAAGGTTGCGAGAGGACTGGAAGAGTGATGACTGATGACCAAGGATCACGAATCTGAATGGAGACAATTGGTCTCCGAACAGGACTTGATGACAGGCAGGAATTATGGCTCGGCTGTGGACGTTACCCAAGACTGCAGGCTTCGGTATGAGTATTCATGTGCCATATGGCAGATACCTACCGCTATCCTAAGTACCCGGGATACGCTTTCAGCCGCCAGTCCACAACAATAACAATAACAATATTGGTATTACATTTTTTAAACGTGGTGATATGCCTCCAAGAAATGATAAGACGATAAATAGAAGACCCGAAGATATGCCGGCACAACAGGAGATTTTGTTCGTTCCTCACAAGACGACTGCTTTTGGTCCAAGTATCTTTTCGACAGAGAGACATCGAGACACTATAGAATAAAAAGAGACCTCTGGAGCTAAACTAGTCTTGTTTTTGGTGATATTGGGTGAGAGTTGCTTTGGCTGTTAAACGGGATACAAGGAATATTCCGTGTCATCCTCATCATGTGTGCTCTGATACGAGTGTGACGAGACTGTAGGAAATCAGGGGTGACGAGCACATACCCTCGCACACACACAGAGAGAGAGAGCGAGAGAGAGAGAGAGAGAGAGAGAGAGAGAGAGAGGACAGCCAAAGGTGAGGTTTATTGAGGAAGGGGCGCAAAAAAAACAAAAAAAAAAAACAAAAACAAAAGAAGAACACCATGCTCCCCACCCCGTCGACCTCGCACGTCTCGTACGACCTCGTCTACGAACCCGCCGAGGACTCGTATCTGTTTCTCGACACGCTGTCCTCGCCCGCCGAGACGGCGTGGCTGCGTTCGCGGTTCTCTTTGCCTTCTCCACGACCTTCCCCTTTACCTTTACCGGTAGCAGGACAACAAACGCCCACACCGACGTCATTGCCAAAGTCGACGCCCCTCATCGTCGAAATCGGTCCGGGATCCGGCGTCGTCATCGCATTCCTGGTCGCCAACGCAAAAACCATTTTCGGACGCGACGTGCTGAGTCTCGCCGTCGACGTCAACCCGTATGCGTGCCGCGGGACGAGGACGACGGTGGAGAAGGCGCTCGCCGAAAAAGGGGCGGAGAGGCGAGTGGCAGAGGAGAAGGAGCGGGGTGGAAAGGCGGTGGTGCTCTCAGAAGATTCAGGCGGGGATGGCGCAGAGAATGATCAGGGCGTTTCTGATGATAAAGGTGGAAGGGACGAGGGTGGGAGTATCTACCTCTCGTCAGTGAACGGCGACCTCGCCACACCGCTCCGCCCGGGTGAAGTTGACGTCCTGGTATTCAACCCGCCCTACGTGCCTACCGACTCGGTCCCTGCCACTCCAACCACTACCAAAGAACCAGAACCAAACTCAAACCCAACCTTCGAGGAACAATCCGCGCTCCTCGCCCTCTCCTACGCCGGAGGGCCCGACGGCATGCAAGTCACAAGTCGCCTCCTCGCCCAGATCCCCGAGGTGCTCAGCCCCCGTGGCATCGCGTATGTGCTCTTCTGTCGCGGAAACAGGCCTGACGAGGTCAAGCGGTGGATTCGTGCGTGGGAGCCTTCGATACTACCATCACCACCACCACGGTCACAGCCAGAAACAGCTGGCAAGGCAGAGCAATGGCAAGGGCACTGGCGCGCCGAGACGGTCGGCACGAGCGGCAAGACGGCCGGGTGGGAAAAGTTGGAGATTGTGAGGATATGGAGAGAGTGGGAGCGAGAGGGATGCGAATGATATGGATGAGACGAAACACAACAAAAGTGACTACTAATCTACCAAGGGAAGGGAGTTCTTCAGAGAAATGGGTGTAAATGGGTGGTGTTGGGAGATATTCCTGCTTCTCGCCCAGCAGATCTGAGGCGAATTTTTTCATGAAAGCTGGTATATTACAACAAGATGCGCATATGAAAGAAAAGCACACCAAATGTGCCCAAGACGACCTGCTCCGCAACCTACCATACGAAATGGCAAATGACAACATGTCTCTTGTCATGCCAACAACATTTAGATATACCCAAGACATACTATTATTATTAATTACCTAGGTACTTTTGAACTCGTGCTGTGCGGAATTGCCCAAACCACCAACAACTTCGCTAAACCTTTCTGCTCGAGATGCGAGGCACATTTCTGTGATTCAACATCCATAAGAGACTGCTTGGTGTCTGTCTGTCATGCTTGCTTTCCCATCCATATGCAAATTCCAATGCTGTGCAGGAAGGAGGACACATTAAGGGGACATAGTTTGCGAATGTTCAGTACGATGACGGAGAAAGAGTGTTGGCGACGATAGGTCGGTGAAATCAGTTGACGTTAATTGATTAGAGGCACAAGGTGCGCAGCGAATCCGGCGTTATGGTCGATGAGATCTCGTCATCAATCCTACAGGAATGCCACAGCTCTGCCAATTCTGTTAGTATCTGAAACTGGAAAAATGAGGCGAGATATTGTGTCGGAAGAACTCTTACCCTGCAATACCTGCAACGACAGCTAGTCCTCCAGGGAACTCAGGTCGGTAGGCGGCACCAGTGAAGGTCGATGGGGCGACTGAGGTTGAGGCGGCAGCAACAGTCTGAGTTGGCGCCTGGGGTTGTCCGTCACTAATCTGGGTAACTGGTGTACCAGTAGGAGCTTGCGGCTGGCCGTCGCTGATCTGGCTGACAGGAGCGCCAGTCGGGGCTTGAGGCTGTCCGTCGCTGATCTGGGTGACGGGTGTACCAGTAGGTGCTTGAGGCTGGCCGTCGCTGATTTGGCTGACGGGCGCACCGGTGGGTGCCTGAGGTTGTCCATCACTGATCTGAGTAACGGGTGTGCCTGTAGGTGCTTGGGGCTGTCCATCACTAATCTGGCTCACGGGAGCGCCAGTAGGAGCCTGAGGTTGTCCGTCACTGATTTGGGTGACCGGGGTGCCGGTAGCAGCTTGTGGCCTTGATTTGGTCAGCGAGAATATGGGCAGGACTAAATTCATAGCAAACATACTGGCCATCAGAGATCTGGGTGACGGGAGCACCAGTTGGAGCTTGTGGTCTTTGCGATATTAGTCAAGGGGCAAAGTAATGGTCAAGACACCGGAGAAGATGCTATACTTACTGGCCATCACTGATCTGGGAAACGGGGGTCCCGCTGGGAGCCTGTGGCTGTCCATCCGAGATTTGGGTGACGGGTACACCAGTAGTTGCTTGTGGTCTATGAATGCTTAGAACTGCACGGACAACTAGTGTAGAGTGGTGGACTTACTGGCCATCGCTGATTTGAGTGACAGGTACACCAGTGGTAGCCTGAGGTCTGTCAAGCAGTCAGCGAACAATATTCAATGACGGTGACGCAGCCAGAACACATCAACGTGTACATTGATTTCCGTCACAAGAGCATTCCGACCGCCACATTGAAGGGATACTTACTGTCCATCTGAGATCTGTGTGACAGCCACCGAAGTGACCTGGGGTTGGCCATCCGTGAGCTGAGAGACCGAAGGGACAACAGTCGTCACTGCGGGTTGACCATCGGTTGCTTGTGTCGCTGGTGGAGCGGAAGATCCGACCAGGGCGTAGATGTAGATCGGCACGCAATGGGGGGCCCAGTTGCGGTCGTACAGATTATAGAATGACCCACTCAGACATTGATACCAGATGGCAGAGCCACCAAGCGCAAGACTGTAATTAGAACAGATCGAAAACCCGCTTGTGTAGATGGCTCCGGCTTGTGGAGGTTCGTCAAACTGGAATTGATAGTTGGAGGCAATATAGCCAGTCCGTCCCGCTTGATCTTTGAGGATGGAGTCGGCAAGAGTGAGTGTTAGAACTCCAGAGGTTTGACGCTGCATATGAGTTAGTTTGTTCCGTACATGAACGGACGATATTGTGAGCCAACCTCGGTCAGATCTCGTTTGGCTGCCGAGGACGAGACATTCACAACAGTAATCTGGAAGCTGCCGCTGAACGAGGGCTGGCAGCCATCAGGTGCTGGAGAGGACGGAGCAATCGCAGAGGTCACACCCTGAGGCATGGGCGAGGCCAGGGCGGAGACGGCCAAAGCCGTGAGGAGAGCGAAAGTACGCATGGCGGAGGTGTTGTGAGATGGGATTGTTTGTTGCTGACACGAGGGCTCGATCTCAACGAAGGTGGGTAGACGCTGAAGCGAATGATCAGTGTCCTACCAGAGGATTGGGAGTATACAACAAGCAACTTCTCGAGGAAGAAAGAAAGAAAAGAACGGCGACCGGGCGGGACGTTTTTTTATGAGAGCTCCGTGATGGCAGAAGCTCGCCAGAAGAAGACATCAACGTTGTCCTAGCGGTTCCATGAGAGCCAATTCAGAGTCGATCATGCGTGAAGAGGTTGTCCGTGACAGCCGGTCAGTGGATGGACGTTGATGTTAGTGTCAGTTGTCCAATGCACAGTCTCTCCACCATATTCCCAACGCATCACTGTTCCAGGCGTAGCTTGAATCCAAAAGCGTGCTTGTTGGTCACCCCGCGTCCCGGTATGCGAATGGTGTGCTCGCTTGGATCGCCATTCGACGCCCACGTCTTGGCGATCGTCGTGCTGCAAAGAAGCTCCTCCTCGGTGAGCTTCGTTGATTTGGCATATCCGCGTCCTCAGTGAAAAGTCTGATTGAGTGGTCGTGACCAAAGCATAGACGTCGGAAAGAAAGCTCGCTGCCCCACACCGTTCTGTACCTCCGAGATCAGTCGATGACGAAATAGACTCGGGAAGCCGCGGGCACTCGTGTAACATCTGAGACATGAGCATGAGATGGTGCATATGAAACCTCCTTCAGCATCTTTTGCCGGCCAATTCGATGTGTCGATGCGGGGAACGAACTAGAGAAGGATCGCTAAGGTTTTGGTATGGTGTGATTCCGACCTGTCAAACATGTCGTCGGCGTCGAGGCTGCCACTCCCGCTCGAGGAGATGCGAGCTAGGAAGCTTAGGGGAGTTGGCCTGTTGCAAAGTTGTCGAGGTTGTGACTCCTCCCCTTGACTTGTTCCATCCCATGTAGCCTTCTGAATTCACTTTCCATCGACCGGAAAGTCTGAGTTGACTGGAGGGAGGGGGGATGACTTTGGAGGTTGCATTAGTGTCCTGTGCGTTAAGCTGCAAGGACGGCAAAACTCCTGCAACTGTTACTCCGCAGTTTCTGATGCTTGTTGGCCGCCTTTCCCGAAATGGACCAAGCGCAGTCACGTGAATCATCCACCTGCAACGTTGAGTGACACTTTGATCCGAGTGTATTTGCCTGCGCAAGGCGATGGGGTACTTGTTAAGTCTGCTAACCAGTCGTAATAGGGTGTCCTCGGAACGAGTTCTCCCTACCTTCATCTGCATCTCGTATCAACCAAAGCTGCCTCGCTAAAATGTGGGTACCGGACGTCATCGACGGGCCTCGGCCCTAAATGTACGTCTCAGTGGTCCATCTAGAGCTCCCGCATCAAGACTACTTCGTACATCTATCACGGCTCCAGAAGTTCCTGCATCCATTTCATCTCCACCGCACTCACACCACGCGCATAGGCCTTTGTGCCTGTGTACACAAACTCGTTATACATAATACCCTCGTATTTCCTTTGTGGGGTCTTGCCACTAAGGCCTTGACCTCCAGAGGTATACGAAGGCAGGGAGAACAATACGCTGCTTGGATGAATGGCCACAACTTGGTTCGTGAGGATGGTCCGATAGCTCCCGTCGGGACAAAGCCGCGCAACATTGGGGTGGAAGCCGGTCATGATGCACTTGAGTATCCGAGTGGTTAGACTGGTCTTGTCACCATCCCGCATTGGTATGACTTTCCGTGGTCCTTTTCCACCCATTTTGCTCTCAGCTTCGTTCTTGCGCTGGTATCGGTCCATCAGCGCGGTAAGTTGTTTCCTGACATCCATGGCGCCGCTCATAGCCCGGTGCGAGATGAACCGCTCTTCACACCAGCGACGGCGATCTGTGTTTTCAGCCACATATGCCTGGATAGTAGCTAGGAGGGTGAGATGGTCCCCTTCACGTCGAAAGAGATGTCGTCGTGATTGCTGTGCACGTGCTTCTGCGGAGTCTTCTTCAGCATCCGAGTCACTGAGGCTAGATGGTTTGGAGGTAGGTTTGACAAAGTCGCCGGATGTAGTAGCAGATGGACGGTTGTGGATGTTGAGGAAGATATTCTCAACACTCAATGCTGAAACGATATCAATAATCTCCTCGACACAATCATATGCTGGGTCTGCGCTGGCAAGGAGGACTCTCGCCAAGCTCGCAGGCAATGGTAAGACGCTCATCTCTCGTCCCAGACGTGTGATCTGCCCGTTCGAGGTATCCAATGCAGAGAGCTGGAGGAGATGTATCATCGCCCTCTCGAGAGCTCTTCGTGGCGGAGCCGTCAGGAATGGGAAGTCACCCAAATTGTCAATCGAGTGCGCCTTGAGTGTGAGTGCAAGCTGACTGAGGTCGCAGCGCAGGATTTCAGGTTCGGTATCCTGGGCCAGTTGGTAGTAATCCGCTTCAGTGTACAACCTGTATGCAGTTCCCGGGGCATCTCGTCCGGCCCGTCCAGATCGCTGATTGGCGGAACTGCGAGAGATGGGCACTGTCAGTAAAGTGTCCAAATTTAGGGAAGGGCGAAAAAGTCGCTGCTTCGCCTTTCCGGTGTCAATTACATATCGAATTCCAGGCACCGTGATACTGGTCTCGGCGATGTTTGTTGCTAATATCACCTTGCGTGTCAACTTTGGTGTTGGTTGGAAGACACGTTGTTGGACGTTCGAAGGTAAAGCTGCGTAAAGTGGGAGGACGAGGATTTTGGGAAGCGTCGCAGCCTGCTTGGGGTCTTTCTGAACCGAGAGTGACCAAGAACTCACAAGACCGAGCAGAGATTCGACGGTTTCTTGACCAGTGAGAAACACGAGTATATCGCCTGGTAAAGGACTGTGGGTGTGGATGTCCAGGATTCGCTGATATGCCGCATCGATGACATCTGGCAACGACGTTGGTGTATAGTTGACGGTTACAGGATATTGACGGCCTTTGATGAAAAGCGACGTTGCTTTGCAGGAGCTATCAGTCTTAGCCTTATCCTTCGCAACACTATTGCTGTTGACAGAGTCGGGCTTGGTATCTTTTCGGTCAACAGCATCTGTTTCATCAGAGAAACCAGACCAGTTGTCTTCTGCTCCATGAGACTCGACATCGGCATCGGGTTGACCTTCGTGCTTTTCCTGACTCGTGCTGAAGAAGTTCTGAATCTTCTCCATGTCTGCCGTCGCACTCATGACCACAACCTTCAATGGAATGCCACCCCTGCCATCCTTCTTGTTTCTCAGATCCTGCATCCTTCTGAGAAAGCCCAACACTAGATCCACATTAACTCCGCGCTCGTGAACCTCGTCCACCACGACGGCTGAGTACTCCCTCAACCAAGGATCCCGCAGCATCTCTTGTAAGAGCATACCCTCTGTCAAAAACTTGATCCTCGTCGAGGGACTCGTGCTGTTTTCGAACCGCACAGAGTATCCGACTTCAGATGCAGGACTCGAGTTTCCCAGCGGCGTGCCCATCTCCTCGGCCACACGACGAGCAAGGGAGATGGCCGCCACTCTCCGGGGTTGTGTGATGGCAATGCACCCTCCAACATTAACGCCCCCACCGGTCTTCCTCTTTTGGCACCATGGTTCGTTCACCAGGAACTGTGGAATCTGCGTCGACTTGCCCGACCCTGTCTCTCCGACAAGTAGCAGCACATCATGATCCCTGACCTTCTGGCGTATCTGATCGGCGCTGCTGTAGATGGGTAATTTTTGTCTGGCTGGCAGTAAAAGACGAGCCCGCTCTCTCAAGCTCAGGGTCTTGCTACCGGCCTTCAGGTTGTCGTCCTTCCCTTGCCGTTCCTCAAAATCGACAGTCTTACCTGTCGCCCCATTCTGTGCAGATTTAGACCTGTGGCGTTCCAACTTGTCCTTTACAGATGCGGACTTTGACGGGAATGCTTCATCTGCAGATCTCTTGGTTCCTTTGCGGAGCATCGTTGCTTCCTTTCTTGCACCTCAGTGCTGATGGAAGTTTTGAAATGCGTGTACTTTTCGCTATGCATGAGGAATAGGGGAACACCGCGCAGCGCTGAGCAAATAAAAGCACCCAAAACGCCCGAAATTATCCAGTACAGGGAATGATAGATGTGTCTGGCAAGCGATGGCAAAAACAAAATTTCTTCTCAGCCTCGTCACGTTTTCCCCACAGGCTTGGCACCGAAACAAGGTCCGTCTGCCAACCAGATTCAAAACCGGACACGGTACTCGGTATTATATGGAACCTTCTACAAGAGAGATCCGGCTAAGCGGACTTGGGAAATGCACATTGTTTGGCGAGTTTTAACGTTAACAACTACTATCGTTCAGTGGAGACTTACGGCTTCAATCGATGCACCAGGAGTATAATTGCATGTGGGATTCTCTGGCTGAACGGAGCGAGCGGTGGTTTTACATGGTTCATTTTGTACATCATCCAAGTCTCTATTCTTTGGATGTCTTCATATCAGAGCCTGCCCTCTAAACATAGCCTCCCTGACTTCCCTGATCACGTCCTTTCGATCTTTGCCTCCCATCAGCACAATCCCTCTTCCTCGCCGATTCATCCTGCCCATCCGTCCTAACCGGTGGACAAAGTCGATTGTAGTATGCGGAACATCATACAATACCACGTGGCGGACGGCGAGGGTATCGACGCCGCGTGAACCAAGGTCGGTGGTCACGAGAACCTTAACGTCCGGGAGATGCCTTGTAGGTCTGGATGTTTGGGTTGGGTTTGCCCCAGGAGTCGCAGGGGTAGATGAACGATCGAAAGGAACAAAGTCTTTGAACAGTTTCTTGGAGGCCGAAGCTGGGGAGGAGGACGGCTTAGAAGAGCCCTCGACGCGCTCAACAGAGGTGAATGTTGCGAGGATTTCAGCTTGACGCTGCTCCGTAGTATCTCTAGTCAGCGCGACGGCTTCGATTCCCTTTGTTACTAGAAACCGGGCAACTTCTTCCGCCTTTTCGCGTTCGTTGACAAAGACAAGGATGTGCTTCACTGTATTCTTGGGGT